AGTGTATGGACTTCCTTCTCTGCCTACTCTTGACTGTGATTTATGTTCTTTCGTAGGGAAAATGTCAAACTTGATACAGTTCATTATAGATTCGAGAATTAGGTGATATCTGAAATTAGAATCTGAATTTGAATGAGAAGACACTTATTTCAGGGGCGCCTGGGTGGCTCAGTCAGTTAAGCTTCCACTCTTGGTTTTGGCTCACGTTCCGATCTCATGGTTCATGGGTTCGAGCCCTGCGTTGGGCTCCGCACTGATGGTGTGGAGCCTCCTTGGGATTCTCTCTCTTCCCCTCTCTCTGCCCCTCTCTGGAGATTTCTCTCTCTCAAAATAAATAAACTTAATATATATTATTTTGTCCCCCTGTTTGATGAGTAAATCTCTTCTCTGGCACCTCTATCTATTGGTTAAGCTCAGATTGCTGTTAGGACAGTGAGCTCATTACGTCTCCCAAAAAACTATTTCATTTCCAGAAAACCATGAAAAATGTGTTAGTACAAAAAATTTTTTTTTATATATACGTAGCTTTTACCTACCAATGCTAGTTCTCGATCTCGGTTTCGGATGGAACAAGTCTGGTCTTTATTGTGATGATCCTTCAGATATTTGAAGACAATTACACTCTCTTCCTTCTGGTCTCCTTTGCTCCCTGTTAATACCCCCAATTATATCACATATTCCTCTTACCTCAGGGTGTCAATTCTCTCTACCTTTCTGGGGACTCTAGCTGGCTCCAGGATGACTGTGAATTTATGTGTTGCCCAGCTTGTCCAGCCGAGAGGAACTTTTGGGCCTGTTCTGTCAGTTGCTCTCATGCCTACTGGTGCAGCCTGAGAGCCCTTTGTCGACACGTACAGACTGTCTGCTGAGGTCATCGCTTCTTTCTCCTGAATGGCACCCATCATGTGTTTCTAGCATCCGTTCTGTTGCTTGTCGGTTGAAAGTCGAAAACATACATTCAGTCCTTGTATAATTGTATTTCTGCCCGAAAGTTTTATCCCTGTTGAGTTTCTTCTTGTTAGAGAAGGTCTTTTGGTGAATCCTGATTCTCCTCATGTGAGATGTCCAATATGTGAGATCTCCTCCCCGTGTATTGTGACCCTAAGTTTATGCTGTTGATGAAATTAAAATAGGATGAGGGGTACCTGGGTGGCTCTGTCTGTTAAGTGTCCAACTTTGGCTCAGGTCATCATCTCATGGTTTGTGGGTTCGAGTCCTGCATCGGGCTCTGTTCTGAGAGCTCAGAGCCTGGAGCCTGCTTCAGATTCTGTGTCTCCCTCTCTCTCTGTCCCTCCCCCTCTAACTCTCTGTGTCTGCAGACTAAGAAATAAACATTAAAAACATTTTTTTTTTAATTTAAAATAGGATGGGGCGCCTGGGTGGCGCAGTTGGTTAAGCGTCTGACTTCAGCCAGGTCACAATCTCGCGGTTTGTGGGTTCGAGCCCCGCGTCGGGCTCTGTGCTAACAGCTCAGACCCTGGAGCCTGCTTCGGATTCTCTGTCTCCCTCTCTCTCTGACCCTCCCTCGTTCATGCTCTGTCTCTCTCTGTCCCAAAAATAAATAAACGTTGAAAACAAAATTAATTTAAAATAGGATGAGCTGGCTCCTGTGAGAATCAGCTGAAATAAGAGACAGAATTCCCTAACGTAGTGAATGGCGTGGAGAAGGTTCTCAGCAAAGGCCAGATCCTTTCTTGTCCCTGTCCCCATGCCTCTTCTGTCTCCACTCTGTGGCTGCTGCCATCAAGATGTGGGTGTGCTGTGACCCAGAGAGGTCTGGGTCCCTTATTACTTTCAGTAGAAGAGAGAGTGTGGGATGATAGTATCGTCCAATCATAATTCCATCTCTCTTGGAACCTAGGAACAGTTCTTGTGGTTATTTTTTCTATTTTAATTATACTCTACAATTTCTAGAAATACAGATTGCAAGGCACTATGATTTAAAATGTAAATAACACGGGGCACCTGGGTGGCTCAGTCGGTTAAGCATCCAACTTTGGCTCAGGTCGTGATCTCACGGTTTGTGAGTTCGAGCCCTGCACTGGGCTCTGTGCTGACAGCTCGGAGCCTGGAGCCAGCCTGCTTTGGATTCTGTGTCTCCCTCCCTCCCTCTGTCCCTCCCCCGCTCATGCTGTGTCTCTGTTTCTCTCAAAATAAAAAAAAGAAACAAACATTTTTTAAAAAAGAAAATAGGGGCGCCTGGGTGGCGCAGTCGGTTAAGCGTCCGACTTCAGCCAGGTCACGATCTCGCGGTCCGTGAGTTCGAGCCCCGCGTCGGGCTCTGGGCTGACGGCTCGGAGCCTGGAGCCTGTTTCCGATTCTGTGTCTCCCTCTCTCTCTGCCCCTCCCCCGTTCATGCTCTGTCTCTCTCTGTCCCAAAAATAAATGAAAAACGTTGAAAAAAAAATAAAAAAAGAAAAAAGAAAATAAAATTTAAATAACAGACTTTCAGGAGAGGGTCTGTGAAAAATCCCTTTCACAATTGTAGATACGCACCCTCGAAGCTGTGTCTTTCTTAGGGTACAGTGGCCTTCAGGAATCTCAGGTGAGAACGTGAGAATGAGAGTTAGGATATGTAAGTCCCATTTGCTTCCCATAAGAAGGAAGAGGCTCTCTGTGAGTGGGGATAGGGGTGCCAGACCTCAAAAAGAGGATTTCCTGGAGAGTCTCCAGTAGGCCACTTAACTATGTGTTCCTGTTTCCTCAGCTGTCATGTGTGTAAAATAAGATATAGCTAGGGGTGTTGTGAGAACGAAAGACATGACAGGTAAATCACTTTCTCTGGTTTCAGGCACGTAGCGGAGACTCGATGAACATCAGTCTCTTTTCTCCCGCTGCTGAGACCCCAGTGCCTTTGCGTTGCGCGGACAGTGGGCGGGGGGCCGAGGTTGCCTGCTCAGAAGACTGACAGCTTTTCGTGGCTTTTGTGAACTGCTGACGTTACATGAGGCGTTGCTTCTTTTCAAAGGCTCAACCACTCTAGGGGAGCCAAACGTTTATGAAATAGTAAATTTTAAGAATTAGGGGGAAAGATCACATAGTAAATGCTAGGTACCTTTCCCCTGTTAGTTTTAGTGTTTATGTGTGTGGACACAGGTCATTTGGGAGACTTGACTTTAAAATGAAAAATAAATTTTTTTAAGTTTATTTATTTTTGAGAGAGAGAGCGAGTGAGAGAGTGAGCACGAGTTGGGAAGGAGCAGAGAGAGGGAGAGAGAGAATCCTAAACAGGTTCTGTGCTGTTAGCATGAAGCCCGACGTGGGGCTCGATCTCACAGACCTGAGCTGAAATCAAGCATCGGACGCTTAAGCGACTGAACCACCCAGGCGCTCCTAAAATGAAAACTTTTTATTTTTTAAAAAAAATTTTTTTAACGTTTTTATTTATTTTTGAGACAGAGAGAGACAGAGCATGAACAGGGGAGGGTCAGCAAGAGGGAGACACAGAATCTGAAACAGGCTCCAGGCTCTGAGCTGTCAGCACAGAGCCCGACGCGGGGCTTGAACTCACAGACCGCGAGATCATGACCTGAGCCGAAGTCGGCCGCTTAACCGACTGAGCCACCCAGGCGCTCCTAAAATGAAAACTTTTTAAAAGGTAGATGGAATAAAGAAGCAAGCAAGCACTTTTTTAAAAAATCATTTCTTTTTTTAAAAATTATTTATTCATTAAAATAATTTTTTTTAAGTTTATTTATTTAGAGGGAGAGAGTGCGTGTGTCCACATGGGGCAGAGGGAGAGAGAAACAGAATCTCAAGGAGGCACCATGGTCCACGCGGAGCCCAGTGTGGCACTCAGGCTCACAAACCGTGAAATCATGACCTGAGTCAAAACCAAGAGCCAGACCCTTCACTTAGCCCCCCAGGCACCCTGCAACTTCTTCTTTCTTAAGTTATTTTGCTTTAGAATGCAGATCTGGGGGTGGATGGGAAGAGGTCTTGTAACAAGGCCCAGAATCCCTATGTCGTTGAAGTTCCTTCTTCTGCACGTGGGACCTGTGCGATTTTGCTTTGCTCTAACAGTAGTCATAAAAATAGTGACACTATCTTGCATTTACACAACACTTCTAAGTTGATCCCGTTCTTACAGTTTTTCAAAAGTTAAAGATAACATTGTCATGTAAATAATTTTCAACTCATTAAGGCAGTGTTCATGGGGGTTTCTTATGTTTTTGTTTTTTGGGTTTTTTTTCTTTTTCTTTTTTTTTTTTTATTCTCGAATGACTTGGTGTTTTAGATACTACACGTGGGACTACTGAGTAGGGAACCCAGGTGTGGTTCTCAGGATCCTTCTGCTCTATGCCCAGGTAACTCTCTGCTGTGTCTGTGAGAGCACCTTCTCCTGTTACCCAATCCTGTGCTTCAGGAAGATGGAACCACTCCTGCCCAGTCCCACAATATGTAATGATTTTTCCAGTGATCTCTGCAGAGGCTCCTTCCTTGGTGGGAATGCAGTCTGCCACATTCCTGTCTGCTGGCATTTCCAGCACAGTTTGAGTCAGCTCGGCAGAGCATTCCCTGGTAACCTCGGCTCCTCCTAAGGGATATTGCTCACAATACTGTTAACCCTTCATGTTGCCTGTGACCCATGGTCTCTGATTTGTTACTTGTGAACCTGCCTTGTTTACATCACTGGACTCTGCGTTTCTCAAGATTAAGTCCTGGGGCCTGGTTTCATTCATCTTTACATTTCTGGATCCTAGTGCTTAGCAGGGGGCTTTGCGTATTCCAGGACATCACTGAGCATTTTATGAGTTGAAGGGCATATTCGAAGGCCGTGGGGGAGAATTTGCCTTGTGCCTGTGTATAAATCGATACATGCAATGTAGCATTTGCTCAGCCTGTGAGCAGCGGAACTGTGGTTAAAATCCCAGTCTGATCACCCAGAACCCAGCGAGCCAAGATGCTTCCAGAACAGAAACACTAGCTATGTTGAGTGACATCTCAAGAGAGCAAAACAAGAGCCTTGCCCTGCCTATTATTCGAAGACACTGTTAAATCAAACCGTTTTTGTTTCCTTTGCAAACTAGGTCCTTCAGAAGCTTGGGAAAGCTGATGAGACAAAAGATGAGCAGTTTGAAGAATATGTCCAGAACTTCAAGCGGCAAGAGGTGAGTACAGTTTTCTAGTTTTCGGAGGGAGAAATGGGTTGACTGTGTCTGTGAACTTCTTTCTTCGGGGTTGGCATGCCAACCTGGGGGTGGCACTGCTGATTCTGTAGGCTCTCTTGTGATGGGTGAATGAAGAGGCAGGAGGCACTACAGGAAGAAGCTTTGTGCTTCAGTCGTAATCTCAGGAGATGAAGACGTTGCTGGTCTGGAGCTCTTCGATACAGATTATCGATCTAAAGGAAAGATGCTGTTTGTGGTGATTTATAGTATTGGTATAATATTAGAGAAACAGTAGTTCAGATACCTCCCGCACAATTATTTCAATTGTTGCATGCTTCAAGATCATGCATTCTCAAGAGGGATTATATCTCCCCCAAGAGGGTGGAAAATGGTTCTTTGTGGGTGAAAAAAACTGTGTATATCACGTAAATAGATACATAGTGTATCTGTGGTATTGAAATTTCGTGGGGGTGTGTGATGAGGAAAAATAGGTCTAAAATAGCTCCTTAAGGGAGATGATAATGAGGAAAAAGTTGAGAAACATGATTAGATTTCTGCTATTCCTTCTTTTTTTTAAGTTTATTTATTTTGAGAGACAGAGAGCAGGGGAGGGGCAGAGAGGGAGAGAGAGAGAATCCCAAGCAGGCTCCATGCTTTCAGCGCAGAGCCTGATACAGGGCTCGAACTCACGAACGGTGAGATCACCACCTGAGCTGAAACCAAGAGTTGGATGCTTAACCAACTGAGCCACCCAGGCTCCCCTGTGGTGTTTGTTCTTTTAATGGGCTGCATAAAGACACATGCACAAAGAAACGAACTCTTTCAGAAAATTATCTGTGTGTATCTCTAAGGCTTGGATAAGAATGGACAGAATATCCATTGGATATCTGGACAGAATATCACTCTTTAGAGAGCATGCATGAAGGTCAAGGTAGGGGAAGGTATACGTGGGGCCATCTGCAGTTAGAAGCCTCCCATCTGGAGATCATACTAGCCATGGGGTGGGAGGAAGGCTGCACCACCAGATTCTGGAAAATGGGGTTTGGACATGGGGATGATGTGAGGACACAGCTTTATTTTCCTGGTGTCACTGGAGCTACCAGTGTCCCCAGGATGTTGTGGCCTTGGGATGACGACAGTCAGTAATGTCAGATCATCACAGGTTTCTGTTTTATTTTTTAATGTTTATTTTTCAGAGAGAGAGAGAGAGAGAGAGAGCACAAATGGGGGAGGGGCAGAGAGAGGGGAACAGAGGATGAGAAGTGGGCTCCTTGCTGACAGCAGAGAGCCCAATGCAGGGCTTGAACTCATGAACCCTGAGATCATGACCTGAGCTGAAGTCGGACGGTTAATCGACTGAGCCACCCAGGCACCCCGATCATCACAGGTTTCATTTTGTCCCGTTTGTTCCTGTTTGCGGATCTCAAATTGCAGAGATTTCTTTCTTCCACGTGTGTACCCGAGCACCCACTGTTTGTCTCCCTGCATCCATGCTATTTTTGTCCCTCACCAACACAGGTGGTAAAAGTCCAGCAGGTATGGAGCCAGGTAGACCAGTCTCCATCAGAACACATTCCTGAAGGCCTCCAATTTCATCCCAAGACTAAGCATTGACATGTGCAGAGAGACAGATACTCCGTTTACTGTGATAGCCATCTTGTTCTGTCTGAAAGTGACGATGGAGAGAAGGGAGTTGGAGAAGAAAGCCATGGGAGACAGAGCATATCCACAGAGAGCTTTGCATTCATGAAGGTAGAAGAGACAATTCTATAGCAATGTTGGATCTAGGCCCATAGACTATGTTGGCCTCCAGCCTCCTCCAGGAGAACAGATTCTCCACGTCTCCTTATGTTCTTATGCTGTGAGTTCTTGTACGTTTCTCCCTTGCACTTGGATCACACTCAGACACAGCACCATCTGGATTGCAGTGACTTCCCACAGAAAAGATGATCAGTCACTGCCCTGTTGCTTTGCAGGGTGATCCCGAATACCTGCTTTAAGGGATTGGAGTTAGAAAGAAGTGATTCAGGTTTATAGATGTACCTGTCTGAGGATTTACACTACCCTTTGAAACTTTGTCTTCCTTTCGGGGGGTCCCCGTGGAGCTGATTAGGTCTCTACTCTTGGATTTTTTCCTGTATCACTCTTATGGTGTCTTGATGCAGTTAGCGTCCCAGAAGGCTAACCTTGGGAAGCATCAAGTTCAGGAATGCATTCATGACTAGGAAGCAGTTTGCATTTTCCAATTACAGTGAATTCTTATTGGCTCTTTTTTGGGCTTTGTTGAGCGGGCTAGGTGAGAATTATTTTTTGTCTAAAGCACTAAAGGAAAGTACAGTTGGTCACATCATCAGCTCCATTGGTTACGTGCCACTAGCATCAGCAGCGTGAGGTGACCGTGCAATGCTGCTGTGTCTTCCACTCCCATCACAAGATACACATTTTCTTAAATGGGTACTTTCTCTTAAAAAAATGTTTAGTGGGGCAGCTGGGTGGCTCGGTCGGTTAAGCATCTGACTTCAGCTCAGGTCACAATCTCATAGTCCGTGAGTTTGAGCCCCATGTCGGGTTCTGTGCTGACCGCTCGGGAGCCTGGAACCTGCTTCAGATTCTGTGTCTCCCTCTCTCTCTCTGCCCCTCTCCCGCTCTGTCTCTCTCTCTGTCTCTCAAAAGTAAACATTAACAAGAAATACTTATTTAGTTTTGAGAGACGGCAGGGGCAGAGGATCTGAAGCGGGCTCTGTGCTGACAGCAGGGATTTTTAAATGTTATAGACAAAATCATATGCTATCAATTCTTGAAGACCTTGGTCCTTTGTAGAATATTAGCAGATTTCAAAATCTGGGTAAAACTTCAAAATCTGGGGAAGTTTGAACAAGCAATTCTACCTTATAAGAGTGAAACAATTACGTTGGAAATACAGAAATGGTATTACTCAAAGAGTATCTTAACCCCCTCTGTCTCCCTTTGAAAACAGTTTTGCATCAAAAACATCTTACATTTGCACATACTCATTTTGATGGCTTTTTTTTGTTTTCATCAGAAAAGATAAGTTTATAGTCATTTGAGTGCAATAAGGAGGGATGGTACCTTAACTAGAAGGAGAGAAGTCCGTATACTAGAAGGAGAGAAGAATATGCTGAGAAAGGTGTTTCTACATATACTTGTGTAGAAACTTTAACCTAGAAAGATGGCTCTACTAAGATTGTGGCATCTCTACGAGGCCTAGTACTTTTAATGTTAACATAATGGCAAATCATTACTTTAATGGCAGAAGGCATCATCTAAAGGCGACAGACTCTGAGGATATTATCTGACCCAGGAAATCAAGATTTCATGTTTTTTCCTGTGATAATGTTTTTCAAATCCGAAAAGATACTACTTGGGGTATAAAATGAACTATATTTGTATTTGTGCACTATAGTATGGTAACTTCATCATGCTTAATTAGTACTTAATCCAGAGTAGATTATTCTAGAATATTCTAGAAAGTATTCAAACATTTTTGGGCTCTGATGATCTTACTTTTAAATTCCCTGTAGTAAAATTCTGAAAGTCCTCATAGTGATCGATGTATGCCCTGATCCTTCATGTTGGAAACAAAGGTGGCATCAGGATCCGTGTTTGAACTCAAGCTTGAAGCTTAGCCTTTATCTTATTCCAACCCCAGGTTTTTCTTTTTGATCACAAACCTCTTTTCCTAAAAGGTGGTTTTTGTTAGACTGAGAGCATGGGTGAAGGGTCTGTGTACAACTGTCTCAGTTGTCTATTGGGTTTCCCCATTGCTGTGCTTTTCATGGTCCAGATTTCCTAAACTACTCAACTGGGGCCAAGAGGAAAGGGAGAGAAGGGGGAGAGCAAAAGGGAATAGAGTGAACTCTGCAGAGAGCTTGGGATTTTCCATGATGACGAGTACCAAAAAGAGCAAGAATTATAGAAATCTATCCAGCAGCAAGAACAAAATCTGACTTCCACATGTCCTCCCCAAAGTGTTTTTTTTCCTTCCTTTTTATTTTGCCTGTCTTACCAAAGCTGCTAATGAGTAGCAGAATTGACTGGTGTGAACATCGCCTACTTTCATCTGGCTGCCTGCTGCCGATTGTGTTAATGAGCAGAGAGAAGGTCCCAGAGAGGAAAGAAGGTCCGTGGCCTTTCTCCCTCCTTCTTGCTAATAAACTTGCCATTAAAATGCCATGCTTATGGCAACTGTGCTAACTGCAACAAGAATTGAATAACTTAGGGGCTGTGTGGGCTCAGATTACCAACTCTTTGGTCACATTTCAGTGAGTACGGCTGTGAGCACCCAACTGGACTTACAGTCCAAGAATAATACTTCAAATATTCCAATTAGTATTCATTATCGTTATTATTCCAATTATTAGAATCATCCAGTGACTGAAAGCTGGAGTCATGTCTTCTCCTTACTAATCTCTTCTCAGCACAGGGGACCTGTGTGGCTGCTTTCATCCTTTTATGTCTACGGGATCGAGTGCTTTGCACATAAGATTTAAAAATACTTGTCCTACATCCCCAAAGGCAAGGGAATTAAAAGCAAAAATGAACTACTGGGACCTTATGAAGATGAAAAGCTTCTGCACAGCAAAGGAAACAACCAACAAAACTAAAAGGCAACCAACGGAATGGGAAAAGATATTTGCAAATGACATATCGGACAAAGGGCTAGTATCCAAAATCTATAAAGAGCTCACCAAATTCCACACCCAAAAAACAAATAAGCCAGTGAAGAAATGGGCAGAAAACATGAATAGACACTTCTCTATGGAAGACATCCGGATGACCAACAGGCACATGAAAAGATGCTCAACGTCGCTCCTCATCAGGGAAATACAAATCAAAACCACACTCACATATCACCTCATGCCAGTCAGAGTGGCCAAAATGAACAAATCAGGAGACTATAGATGCTGGAGAGGATGTAGAGAAACGGGAACCCTCTTGCACTGTTGGTGGGAATGCAAATTGGTGCAGCCACTCTGGAG